ATACTTAGTGCATAGCATGTTAGAGTATATTTTAGTCTATTCATCCCTTGTGTTACAAAAGTGTTAACGGCTTACATTTATATTATTTAGATAGTAAATACAAAAGTGATTTTTAATTTTGACCATTGTTGACCTGAAAAGAGACCAACTTTGGTCGGTAATTATACTTAAATTTAAGTTAGCGACCAAAGTTGGTCGCTAAATTTGAATCAGACTTATTTATATTTTATATAATATTTAAAATAATAATATAATTGTTAAACGGGTCCCATATTAGCAACCAAAGTTGGTCTCTATTTTATAAGCGACCAACTTTGGTCGCTAACTTTGAATTATATTTATTTATTTTTTTAATTTTTTTTAAATAATAATATAATTATTAAAATTTTATAACAGGATCCCATATTAGCGACCAAAGTTGGTCTCTATCTACTTATCCTTTAATTAGCGTCGCTCATTTTAAATTATATTTATTTATATTTTATAATTTTTTTAAATAATATTATAATTATTAAAATTTAATAAGTGGGTCCCCCAATAGCGATCAACGTTGGTCGCTAATCTCAGTATTTCTTTGACCAAGCAAGTCTGACCAGTCCGGTCAATATTTTGACGAAATTATTGACCAAATAGCGACCAACCTTGGTCGCTAATGTATTTAAAATAATTATTTTATTATTTTCTCCAATTTAGAGACCAACGTTGGTCGCTTTTCTTGACAGACCAACTTTGGTCGCTTTTTTCCGGAATTCTAGTAGTGTGTGATACAACCCTCACATCCATGCCTACTTCCCTCGACTCGGCGCTGAACTTGCACTCCAGGTACTATGTCTTAGTCCTGCTCAATCTGAAACCCTTAGACTCGAGAGCCTGTCTCCAAACCTCCAACCTCTCGTTAACACCGTCCCGCGTATCATCAATCAGGACTATGTCATCAGCGAATAACATACATCATGGCACTTCCCCTTGAATCTGATGTCTTAGTGCATTGCTTTGGAAAATCCTCAACCTAAAACATTATACTGGTCATCCAAGAGTATCGCCGAACTATAGTGCAAGTTATAGTATAAGTTTAGAATACCATGTTGTCGAAAGGAACTTCAATAGTGGGCACAGCAGTAGGAATGTCACATTCCCCCAATAGCAAGAGCACTGCTTGCACCTGTTTTCACCAAATAAGCCAGAGTCAATTTCCAGATCTTTGCCAGTCGCAATGCAACATCTACACATGATTGACAACAGCGGTATCAACTCTGACTAAATACAGGAAAAGAACCATGATTTACATGACAGGGACAACTGAAGCAAAACACCATACCATGTAATATGGAGACACCATTATTATTTCCGTAAACAGGCCTTATGGATGAGAAGCACCATTTATGAAAAATGAAACCCCAAGATTTCTTGGCTATTTCTGATTCTTTATATCTGAGGAGCTGAGTAGAGTCATATCGCAGGAAGCAGCAGTTTATAAATTTATATAGCAGGAAGGAAGGTGCAATGACATAAAATTTTCCAACTACAGTAATAGCTAGAGTAACATCTTAGTAAATGGGTGCAGTAGAAGGATATTCTCAGCCAAGTTACTACATTCAAACTTATCCTAGGATGTAGAGTTAGCTAGACACCGTTTCTATAAAGTGTCTTAGTTGGAGTGGCAAAGGGACAAAGGACCAAAAGGAAGATGGAAAACTTAAAGAATCATACAATTCACTAGAAATATCTGAATACCTTAAAGTAATAACCTACTGATTACGGGACATAAATGACTTTTTTTAGGCCACTTTTAAGAGACATATTGAACAAGAGTAACTGTTGAAGCAGAGAATCAGAACTGAAAGAGCGAAGATAACCAAGTAACAATGAACGCAGATACCTCATAAAGAAGCCCTTCTCTTCGGATGCTTTGCATGTCCCTAAAATTAGAAAACTGCAGTAGAAATTTAAAGATAAAATGTTTCCTTAAAAGGGAATAAGACATAAAGATGTCCTGAAAGGGATGATTTGAGGTTAAGGCATACAAGTTCCCAGGTATCCTAGCCACAACACTTAGTGTCAGCCTGCCCATCTGCCCTATCACTCACAAGCAAAGGTTGTCCTCGTGGGCAGCAGCTGCTTTATGGGTTAATCAAGGTACGTGCAAACTAGCCAGATACCACAAGTCCAAATAAATAAGAGTTAAAGATTCAATTTTTGTCCCAAATCATTCTTTAATCAGGCTTCAACAATTCCCATACTTAAACTAATCAATAAATAGCAATAACACAATTAAAATTCATCGAGCACGAAAGTAGCTAAAGAGTATACGCAGAGTTCCCTACATTTGCACACGACAAGTCACTTGTATAAAGCATTAATTTAAAGCAATGAATCTATGATTTGATGGAAACTTCCAAAAGAGAAAATAGAAAAAGAAAGTAAATATCTTTCTTAAAGATAGAAACTAAGGTACCTTCTCCTGAGTGACAGCAGGAAAAAAATACACTTCACCTTCAAAAGCAAGAGTAAGCTCACTACTTCTAGAAACTTCCACAACTCCACCACCTCCCCCATATTGATGGTGATCTAAAACTTCGTTCGTATTTCCTCCGCCTCATCCATAGTTTCTTCACCTCCATCAACCTCATACGTGCCGTCGTCATCCTCCTCCTCCTCCTCATCTGTATCGACTGTAACAGCTAGGGGCGGACCCATATGGTGTCAAGGGGTTCAGTTGAACCCGCTTCAAAAAAATTATACTGCGTATATTGATAAATTACATTTAAAGAGGAAATTTACTACTATAAAAAAATGTTTGAACCTACTTTATCACAAACATGCTCACTGTAGGGGTGGTTGAGCGGGCTCAAAGTGTTTGATGGGTGCTGGGATTGAATCCCATTTGTCGCGTTTCTCAATTTATTTTTTAATCCGTACTTGGAAGTTGGAATGGAGCGTATGCAACTGAAGGCCGAGACCATCTTTGTTTCAAATTAAATATCATCCTTCAAATTTATTACTCTCATGTTCTTTCCTTTGTCATTTTACTATTTCACTTCTTTTTTTGTTCTCTTTTTTCCGCAAATAACAAGGACAACTCTAGATTTATTTATTTCTTTGAGTTAATAAATATTTAATGAATTAAATTTTTTAAAGTAAAATTTGTTAAATTAAATAGATAATTTTTTTAAAATAGAGATAAATAATCTTTTATAACCTTCATGAAATATTTTCAGGTTTGTTAAAATTATAGAGTACCAACTTTAAAATGACTTCATTTTGAGATTGTATTAAGAGCAAAAAAGGATAATGAAATGATCAAACCGTACTTGTCATATCCGACACTATTTATGTTATTAGACACGTTTGACTTTGACTGAACCCGCTTGCGTAAGATCTTCGTAAAGCCGCGCCTGCAGTGGCCGTGGATTCACCGCCATCATGATACTCTCTCTCTATATCTATACCCATGAAATTGAAAACCTAATCCTTCAAAATCACGCTAATTTCATAATTAAAAGAATCATCTTTTCACAAACAAGAAAAAAATCTCCGAATTATCCTCGTTTATAAGAAATATATGAATTCTTAAGTAATTGTGATGATATTTTCATTCGAATTTCATGATCAAAATTCAGCTACAGACAGCAAAATGATGGACGAAGAGGAAGAAAGTGTGAAGGAGACAAATGTTCGTTTTAACAAAATGCATCCTAAAATTGGAAAATATTACAGCTTCTGCCATTAGTGTTTCCTTAAAGAGACTTTATTTGGCATTTTTAAATATTTTCCACTTTGAGTATTGAACTATTGATTAAATTAGCTATGATCCAGTACAGCAGGGTGTAGCTAAATTCGACATATTCGTTTGACTACAAATTAGAAGGAAAATTGGTGGCTGTGATGCAGTAGAGCATATTTTAGTCGCTTATTACACTCTAATTTACTGCACTTTAGTTGAGTTTACGCTTTAATCGCTATTGTTTTGCACTAACGGTGTGTTTTATGCCTTGTAGGAGTGATTTCGAGCTATATAGATGTTATGGAATGAATTCAAGTGATTTGGAGCTTTGAAGTCTGAGTAAAAGCCCAAGGAATTAAGCCGGGATCGTATTCGGGGGTCAAATTTGATAATTAAGTACGAACGAAGACTCGAGGAGGCATGTTGCGCACTGTCTAGTAAAATAGACATAACATTTTGCTCAGAACTCCGTTTGGACTCCACAATTTATGGTTGGAAAGCTAACTCAAAGAGCTACAACTTTCATGTTTTACGTTTTTCCAAATTCCAAACGGAACAGGGCATAACCGCGGTAGGACCGCAGCAGAACACTGCTGCAGATTCTGAAGGCCACTCTGGCCGCGGTCCTGGCGTAACCGTGGTGGACCGCGGCAGGACGCATAAAACTCAGGGAACAAAGTGGAAAATACGGGATTTTAAGCCCTAAACCCTATATTAAACGAAGGAAGCCGGCCAAGAAAAGGGGAGAATGATTTTTGGAAGTGAAAAACATCAGAAGGAAGGGCAAGAGGCAAGGAGGATCATTGGGCATCAATCTTTAATCTTCTTCTTTGTTCTTTTACCTTTGAATATGAAATTTTTTGTGATTTTTGTTGTTTTCATGAGTAGCTAACTTTTCTAATCTAAGGTTTTGGTGGAACCCGTTCGGGATGAATTTATTGTGATGTTAAAATAGTTTTGATTGGTTGTTAATCTCTATTTGTTCAACTATGTTTTGATTGTGGTTAATTGAAAGGATCCTCAATTAGTTGTTCCTATTTATTATGTATCTGCTTGAGAGAGAGTGCATATTTAGGTAGTTGTTTGAACAACATCACTCCCGGAGTATAGGCGAGAGTCATAACCGAGGGTTTAGAGGTTGGATTAGAGATAACGATACCTCGGGTGCGATCTAAGTGAACTGTAATGCGAATCTAGCTAGCGTAGCTTGAGAGAGTGCGTCTAGTAAATTATCATAATTGCTTGAGAGAGATTTATGATAGCTGGAGAGTTCATGATTGATAGAGGCAACTAAGTCAACGCTATAAGAAACATACAACCAAGGAAATCAACAACGGGGGAAACCATTACCTTAGACCTTTATTCTAATTGTTTACAATTCAAGCATAGTTAGTTTTCAGCTGTTTATTTATTTTCAATCTTGTCTTCTTGGTGATATTAAACAGATACAGCTAAGCCTTAGTTCTCTGTGGGATTCGACTCCGAACTTTTAGATCGGATTATATTTGTAGCGACCGCTTATCCTTTTTAGGACTAGAGTTGGGCGTGATCAAATTTTGGCGCCGTTGCCGTGGAACTAACGGTGTAGTTGTAGCTGTATATATTGCTAGGTTACGAGTTTGAACTTTTATTTTGTTTTCTTTTGTTTTGTTTTTCTATATTTTTTTTATATAACTATCGATTTGAGAAACATGGCATCTTGGAATTATGGGAATTTAGGTGTAGATAATTCTACTATTGATATCCATACATATTGTGAAGGAAACCACCCGTGGCAAAATTTTCAAAACGTTCCTAAAAGCGAGTTATGTGCACCAACTCAATCTTATTTGTGGAATGTGTGTGATGTGTGTGGTGGTAAAAATGGTCACCTTCATGGTTGTGCTTATATTTCTTATTTTCCCCCAACCCCTTACTATGATGGTTCTACCTTTTCTTGTGAAGTTAATAGGAACAAAGAACCTGGGAATGCGGACTTGAAGGAGATCAAGGATATGCTAAAGTGCCTTCTGGAACAAAACAATGAGAAACAATTGCACATAGAAAGGCAAGAGGCAACTATTCGCAAGTTGGAGGCTCAATTGAGTCAAGTGGTTGGAGCTTTTAATGCTCAACAATCCAATATTGATGATAGTAGCCAAGAAGAGCATGAATTTGAGATATTTATTAGGGAGGTCAAAGTAGAACATCAACAACCTAGCCAACTAGAATTTGAAGATGTCAATGTTGAAGAAGTGAGACTAGAGTCAGCGAAGGACATTGAGGATACAAATTTTGTTGACTCTAGTATCATTGATGTTGAGGATGCTGAAAGTCCTGAAGTTCATGTGTGTGAGCGCATTGGTCCTCAATCCAAACATTTTTCTACATTGTGCTTGGATGACGATATGAAAATAAAGTCATCCGAGTCGATTGAGAAGTCAAGGAATGAGGAACAAGGTGCCTATATTCTGGAATTTTTCTTACCAGAAAGACAGGACTACATACCTCATCTAAAAGCCAAGAAGTGTAGAATAGTACAATGGTTGCTTGGACCAATTAGATTTGTTCCTCCACCCCTGGAGCATAGCCGAAAACTTGATGCCAAATTGGGGGTTCAATTCATAAGCTCGAGGTGGAGGCAAAAAGTGATTCGCGTCGTGCTGCGACGTTAAATCAAGCGCTTGTTGGGAGGCAACCCAGCTTTATTGCTTTCTTTTGTTTATTTATTTATTTTTTTTAATTATATTATTTTTGTAGTGTCAATTTTTTATTTTCTAGGAGCATGGAAAGCAAAGGTATTGGAACAATGCAACAACAAACCAAATGGTTGGAACTAAGTGTGAGGTACCCGCACGAAGGACCAAGCTGGGGAGAAGTCTGAGTACCCCATGAGTTGTAGTGCTTCGAACTTTGGCCTACCATGGAGTCTCTTTTACCCTTTTTATTAGTTATGGTGTGCATTGGGGACAATGCACAATTTTAAGTGTGGGGTGAGGAGATTGTCTGGGTGACTTTCTATGCTATTTTAGTTGTGTTAGTATAATTGAATAATTTTTCTTTTAAATAGCAAAGATTGGACTTTTCCCGACGATGGATCTATTAGACAATTTTCTTGAGGGATTTAAGTCTAAAGAAAAAATAAAATAAAAAGATTTTCTTTTGTTAGGTAGTGTAGCAATTCTCCCTTGGTTTTTCTTTGTGTCGCGGTTCTTTTCCAAGGGTTTTATTTGAACCGGGTGTAGTTAGTTTTTTTTTTTTTGGGAGTAGGAGACATTGTGTTGTGCTTTGAATTGAAGTAATATCTCTTGACTTGGTTATGCCTTGAGAATAGTGAGTACTTTGGTTGTGACGCTTATGCTCAGTTTTTTACTCTTGTAGAAGTACCTTAAATTGTATTATCTTAACTTTGCTTAACTGCTTTGACTAGAGTGTCTATGAATCCAATCCTGAGTGAGTCATGTGCCATGTGTGTGTAGGCTTTTGCATTATTCAGTGCATTGCATTTGATGCCTAGAACTTGCCCTGTGTGTTTGCAAAGCGAAATAGTAGTGTTGTTCAGTCTTGGAAGTGATATAGGCGTTTTCTTGTTGACCCAGATATGTATATTTTACCCACCTAATTGTTATGCATCGTAGTTAACCTCTTTGAGCCTATAATCCTTTTTCTTTGGCAACCACATTACAAGCCTTACCTATTTGTTTGAATTAACCATCTATTTGAACCTTTTCACCTCTCATGAGCACTTGAATTGTTATGAACTTTGTAAAAGTTAAAGTGTGGGGTGGTTGGTTTGGCTTTTGAGTGGAACTAATTGAATAAGGAGAAAGGTGCACTGTTTTGAAAAAGGAAGAGCCACTTGAATTGAAAAAAAAATATAGTTGGATTGTTGTGGAAAAAAAATTCCTTGATAAGTGGTGGATCTTGACGTAAGTGTGCTTAAAGAAGAATGGGGTAATTTACATTGATGTGAAGGTGGAATTTTGGTTTGACA